CTCATTATAATAAATAACTAATGAGTTATTTAAAAGGAGGGCCATTCCTGGACAAAAGGATGGGTGACCTGAACCTAGGTTTGCGATTAATCCCAGTTTGTGCACCTACCTACTCTTCCAAATAAGTAAGTCCCGACCAAGCCAGGCAGAGTTTGGCTCCCACAGACACCAGGCCCTTTTGTCCTTGCAAGCTTCCATGTGCCTGCCTAGTCTTGCTCCTGGTGTACCATAAGAGAACAAACACCACCACAGAGCCCTCTGGAGGGTGATAAATCTAGAGATGGGTCATCGGGGAAATAGCTCCTCGTCATCCTACTTACCCCTCATCCATTGCTGGCACATTAGAAATCATTCACCCTCTGGTGACATTTAGGGTCTTAACTCATGATGAAAACAATGTAAAAAAGATAAGCAGTGGAAAATGCAAAGAAAGGATTTCTTAGAAATGCCTATAGCTTCGTGGTGCAGAATCTAATCTTTTTTCGGTACATAGGATGTGTTGCTTTTCTGACACCTTCATTTTATAAACCCCAAACCAGCTTTGGGGTCACAAATCTCCCTCTTGCATTTGGATCTCTAAGAAAAAATCCGACCACCAGCACTAGACAAATGTTAAGGGTTTTATAACTAGTGTCATAAAAGTGAGTTTATGGTATTGTCAGAAAATGGAGTGTGCTGCATTTTTTACTGGAAAGAGAGCTCAGATTTACTCTCAGATCCTCTGTATGTCTGGGGGTGGGGTGGGTCTCCTGCACCTAAATGCTTAAGCAGGGCAGGCAGCTGCACAAGGGTGAGGAGGGGGCACCCCCAAGGGACGTTGCCAGAAACTTCTTTAGCGAGGGGAGGATGACCTCACTTCTAATTTCCAGTTATTCTTTGGTGATTCTGGCTCCATTTCTGGAGAGTGCTTGGTAGTGGAGTGACATCTAATTGCTACTGAAGTCAAGGAGCTTGGTATAGAGGGTAACCTCAGAGAGCTGCTATTATTTTTTCCTTGGGAGTATTGCAGCTTTTAATGACTTGAAACCAATTTAGGTGGGAAATTGCTTAGCAAGAGGTGATTACTTTTCCACAGTATCAGAACCAGGGAAAGGGATTATGTCATGGTTGCCCCACCTCTGTGACCCATGCCTTCATGCTAGTGGCCTCTCAGACAAGGAGGGGCCGGCCCTTCTGGGCCCCGGTGAGGAGAACAGGAAGGCATTGGTAAGGGGAAGGAAGTTTTATTTATTTATTAAGAGCCCACAGCATCTAGCTTTTAC